AGTATAGAAAATACTACAAGTGCTCCATCTTTTTTTTTTTCTTATTTCCAACTTATCAAACATCACAATTCCTATATAGAATTATATTCCTATAGTAGAATTTTTATCCAAATTCCATTTGTAGGAACGATGCTTTAATCACTGTTTGATTAAATAAACTTTTATTAATATTCCACTTATTGTTCATAATTGAAAAATCACTAGTAACGCGAAGTTCAATGAACTCGAATCGAGCAATAAATGGAATTTAATCGCAAAAATATGATTCGATATTTTTTTCTATCATTAGAGTCAGCATATCTCTGTGTCTCGTAAGACTAATCCAGCTGGATTCATTTTAAAACTTCTTCTTTAAAGCTTCTCTTTTAAATTAATTTTTAATTTAAATTAAAAATTAATTAATTAATTAATTTTTAGTTTGCAATATTTTTAAATTTTTTCTTCTTTTATTTTTTACTGCTTCTTTCCTCGAAAATTCCACAAGTCCACACAATGAAGCAAACGAAACAAAACATTGAAGAAAATTACATTTAGTTTTTTAGAAGTAAAAATCGACTGTGAGTTTCTCTCGAAGACTGAATTATTATACACAACGTGGCTTTCTTATCGATAAACGACCAACTGTACTTAAAGTTAAGGTGAATGTGTGTCCCAACTCGGAACGTTTCGAACGTTCCTCTTCTTTTTCCACGGATTTCTCGCGGGTCACCGGCGTTGGTGGACGGTTTCGCGTCCGTAATTCTGCCCTGCGCGAGGAAGAGAGCGGCAGGACAGGTCCGGCGAGATGCTCCAGGGGGAAAGTATCGTTGCATTTTGATCGCGGAAGATCGTTACTCCCGATCGAGGCTCGCCGCCGCGCCGCGCCGCGGCAGAGACTCGCGCGCATACCACGAAGCCCGTGTTACCACCAGCCTCCCGTGTATACGTGTGTACCAGAAGCGTTCGTACACGTGCGCCGCGCGTACCTACGTACAGTACCCACGTCGGCTCAAAGTTAATCTGGATTAACCGGTCTTGAATTTTCTGTGAGGAGAGAGGGCGGTACGACGCGATGTAGAACGGGCGACGAAGCCCAGCAACGGCAACAGCATCGCCCGCTCCAAGGGAGGGGAAAGCCTCTGCTTTGTGTAAGGATGAGGCGATCGGGCGAGGTAGGTTGGAAATGTGGGGAGAGGGTGAGTGGACAAAAATCGAGATCAAAGAATTATGCCCTCTGGAGAAGGAGCACCGGTCGCGCCGCCTCGTGCGCGCAACGCTCGTGCCTCGTAGACGCGGAGGCGCATTATGCTACGTCTACACTGGCTAGAGAGCCGTTTGCAATCAGTCCGAGTATTGTATCCACGAGCTGGAGCTGGTGAATGGTCGCGGGGAATCTTGCAGAAACTTGGAAACACGTTGGAAGAAGATCTTAGAGACTCGATTCTACGTAGGTATGTCGTAAAGATACGAAGCTTTCAGGTAGAAGCCGTGTGAATTTCATATCTCGAGGAACATCTGGAAGCTTCGAATATTTCCGCGGAAGATCCGCCGGCGTTATTATTTTCGTAAAATTCTCACTCAACTTGATCGAGATATGATTCTGAATTAGTGTTGATAATTTTCGAATTGAGTCACGTCGTGGCTGACGCTTTCGAGCTTTCAGCTGTGAGCTTCACGTTGTTTTATTAGCGACGAGTAAAGAACTCTGGGATGTCTTGAGTGGAATAAATTCTTCATCGTTTGGATTTGTCAAAACTGTAAGGAATTATGTTCTAGTCTACAAAAAAAACTGGAGAGTCTACGAGAACTGGATCCATTTTAAAGCTAAGTGATTGTCAATTTCGTGGCCAATCACGTTCCTACGAGCTCGTGAATAGAGTTTTTGATGTCATACTGATCAGCTCACAAGTGACGAATGGATCTTGATCACTTTTCTCCACGCTGAAGTACGCAGAAGTTGCCACAGTCGTCGTTAAACATTGTTCGCGAACAGCAGTGTGGACGCGGCATTACGTGCTATCCCTCGTGAACGAGGATCGTCTAGTTGGCGGAAGAAGGGATCCCGTGGATACGTAACGATTGTATTTGTTTCGTCTTATTCAGTGAAGCATGAATGGTCTCGAGGATTCAGCCTTGGACGTTAGACGTTTCCTTGCGTCATATAGGTGTTGTTAATGATCCTGTTCGTTCATGTTCCGATTCTCTGTGGTATTTATACGGACGGTGGTTCGTTAGTTTTCTCCAAGGGAGTCGTGGTATTGATAAGGTTGCGGAAGCGCGCCGCATTGCACTATATTACGCACACTTTTTGCGTTTCGTTCACGGTTGGTGTTTCGAATCCTGTTCGAATGTAAAGGATGTTGGATCAGGGTGAATATATTAGGACGATGATTTTTAACCCTGTTTTTTCACCTCATGTTTTGTTCGTGATCGTTTTAGATATGCTTTTCTTTACATTTATTATTTCTATCTACTTAGAGAGATATAATTTAATGTTCGAGCAGATTTTCGTATGCACTTATGGAAAATGTATAAAATACTGGTATTATGTAATACTCGTAGTATTCAATAGATAAAATAATTTTTTGCCTTCCGTTTTATTATTTTTTATCATTTTTGTAATTATAACAATGGAATACATAATATGAAATGAAATAAAAATAAAGTTGCACAAATATTCAAATATACTATTATATTGGTATTCCACTGTGCATAGAATGCATAGAATAATTAATAAATAAAAACTATAATAAAAAATCAACGTTTCGTTTCTGATTCAGGTAATTTTATGCTGAAATATATCAATTGATAATTCACTAAACGAACAGTCAGAAAGAGAAAAGTGGCAACTGTTCTCTGGAAGACATTCGAACCATTGCGAATTCTTTCACGATTAATTTCGCCACATTTTTCCAAACTGCAAATAGCAGAATGGAAGAAGTGATAGTTTTCGATAAAAGTACAGACGTCTCTGAACACTAAAAACTTGATAAATCGATAAATTAATAGAATCGAAGAAATGAAAGAAAATCGTCTGAACCGGCTATAACAGTTGCCGGTGATAACGAACCAGTCGCGCTGTCACGTTAATTTAATTGGTCCGATTAGAATGCACTCGCGTGCACGGACACTGCTTTACGCAGTTAAGGCTATGCCGCACTGCGGTTATGCATGTTAACAACACAATTAACTGCGCGTCGGAACGGTCAGATATCTGAACAGTGGACGCATGCGTATCAATTAGACCGGGTAGAATCGAACATTACCGTCCGAGGCGTTTCAATCGTCTCGTAATCGCGGTAACTTGGTGAATGGGTTATAAATTACAATCAAGTCGTACCGCTTTCCATAGATCGGCGAATTCTTATTTCAACGCCGAGCAATTCACATCGACAGTTTAGTTTCAGTTTATTCGTATGACACAGTTGGCATAATTTTCGGAAAAAGTCGACCTCGCGTCGTCAATTATATTGAAAAGAGACTTTCCAAACGAGCGTTGTAATTTTTTTGAAAATTTCTACATCACGATTCGATCGCGGAGTCATGTTTTAATTAGTACGAATAAAGAAACGGATGAATTATGGGTGAGCAGTGATCTGTTTTAACTGTTGAAATTTTATGATATGTACTTTTGCATTTAGATATTTTATACATTTGTATTATTATGCGTGGAATATTCTTAAACGTCGTCGAATGGGAGGTACCGGGTAAAATGCGCGTTAAAGAGAAACGTATTTGCCATTCGTATTAATTATTCATGACGACGAGCGTTTAAAATGATATTATAAGCAGCTGTTCGTGCGTCACTTTGCCAAATCGATAGGTACATTTAATCATTTCGACGGATTCAGCGTTTGCGAACGGAAATGCTATTTGTGGCTCTGAGACGCAGGAAATGAAGAAACAAATGAAACAGACTGTACGCGTACCATTTTTATATTTTTATATTATAACTTAGATATTTATTGTATTTAATAATAAATTGTCTAAATTTTGAGTGAATCTAAAATTTATTAAATTATTAATTATAAACACATTCATATGTTAACAAGCCTTACTAACTGAACGACTTTTGCAGTGCACTATTTTTCTAATTCTATTTAGCATTAATTTGGCATAAATATTTTATTTGCACTTGTACTTTGAGAAGAATATTGTAATTGTAATAAATTTGTACTTGTAATAAAGAGAAGAATGCATAATATATATATATATATTTCTCTTCTTATTACTAATAAATATAATTAAATGTAAATAAATATTATCATTATATCGAGGATAAGAAAAAACGATAAGAACTTTCATTTTTTTTCACTTTTGACGAAAATAACGTTTTAGTTATATTAGAAATATTAACACAAAGTATCTTCAAATATTATTTTTACTCCGTAGATATATTTCCCTAGTTAGTTATTTCATAAAATTTCGATCCTACCAAAAAAAAGTCACTATCTTGATCCTACTAAATCAATGCTTCTTGGTACGAAATGTTTAACTTCATCTTCCATTCTTAAAATAAAGTTATTATATGTTAATATATTGAATAGGAATGGAAAAGAAATATTTGTTAGTGGCGTAGGCAAGACAATGCTGACAAATCGTTCAGAGATTTTCGTGGAAATAAATCTCTTATACCGCGCACTCAGCCATGCGTGTATCCTTGGTGGAACACAATAGGGTTAAAGAACCCCTGATACGGCGTCAATTGATTAGCAATGGAGAACTACGCAGCGGCGTGGGTCGTCAGATCGTCCTTTTTGAATTTGCAACCTTAAGATGGTACGCGTACGGTTCTGTTCGTTTGTCTGCTATGCGTAAGGGGAATAAACGATAATAATAAAGTTCCGCTCGTCATCCGCAGATACGACGACACGACGTCGGAAATTTAACGAATTTTTCAGCGACACGATTTATCCGATGGTTTTCGTAAGAAAAATTGATAGCGAGATGAGTTTCGAAGACAATTTAAAACGAAAAACGAGAAATTGGAGATAGGATTGGAAGTATGATTCAAGAGATGAAGTTAATAACCAAGCATAAAATAAAACGATTGATCTGCAAAGTGAAGGATTTCTTCTATTGAAACTATTACCAAGTATTGTTAATACGTTGTTAAATTATCAATTAAAGTTATTGTATCTTCTATTTTTATTTCTATTTTCTAACAAGACACGGTGGAGAGAAATTTTTCTATATCGTATTTAGTATTCCACTTCACTTACTAAGGAACGAGAATTTCAAACACCTTTGCCATATGGAGACTTGGCGTTGGTATTGAAACAATATGCTCCGTATCTGAAATAAAGTACACGATGTAGGTGTAAGCTATGGATCATGTTGCAGCGAGATAGGGAACTGCATTTACATGTTCTTTGGGGTTGAATCTCCGAAATAGACCTCCTCGATGTCCGCGATCTTGTCAAAACACTTGTGCGCCGGAAATGCTTTCGGACTGTTTAAGGACTCTGCGTATATCGCGACAGATCTTTGATGACTGCACAGTTCTATCAACGAAGACATGTGAAAATCATAAATTAAAGTAATTAATTAACGTGATTGCAAAAGTGATTTCAAATTACGACAAATAATTTTGAAGAAGTTAACGCGTAATGAAATGTATCTTTCAAATAAAATTTTAGCTGTAAATAATTTCTTTAGAATAATGGATTTTTAATTAAAACAATTTTCACGCAATTCGTATTTTAAATGTAAGATTTTGAGGAATGGAATTACTCCACTCTCATCTTAAGAAATTGTCCAATTTGTATATAACAGATTTTTAAATTTCCTCAAAAGTTATTGTTTTTAGCGTGAAATTCATATAAATTTTCTAATAATGCTATTTCGATATTTTTAACATTGTAGCAAATTTGTTTTCGATCGATATTATAAGTTTTAATTTTAATATTTAGTGTTTTTGTTGGAATTCCTAAAATTAATTTATATTTCTTTTAATATCATTTTATTATCTTTTCAACGATTGATAGAACAAAGTTTACTGATTAAATGGCTCGTAAAATCCAAAATTAAAAGAAAATTCCGACATTTCATACGCATCAACTTAAAAAACTAATTAATAAATTACAATAATCCCTTAGCACCGTTAAATCAATAATCAACCCTTTCGAAATAAACGAGAAAATATCGTAAAAGAAATCACGAAAAAATATCGTAATACGGCTCTGGACATTGAAAAAAAAAACCGATTTTATAGACTGAAATTTAACTCCATCTTCTAGTCAAACAACCCTGATTTTCCTCGCGAGTAATATCACAGTATAAACATACGGAGGAGAAGAAAAAAAAAAAAAAAAGAAAGAAAGAAAGAAAGGAAGGAAGGTATCGTCTAACATCAAAAAGATATTTCACTACTGCTTCGAATTTTTTCACCCGGCTATTGACCATTTACGATCGATGACAATGATTACCAGTAACCAAACAACATAAGCGGATCCTTTATAAATTACAATGATAACAGGTTATCAGATCGTAAGTGCTGTATTCGAAACGCTATTAAAATTTTCTATACCTTCTATGACCAGCCACCGGAATGACTTAACGACGAACATTATGATTTACCTGCACCGAAGATTATAGGACAACCCGGTTGCACGCTGATCCCCTTGTTTGCGTAAAAGTCAACAGTACCCGTGTTGATAGCCGCCCCATAAAATCCACCATCAGTGTGAAGGATAACAACGGCCTCGGCATCGGTCGATCTGATGTGACACGCAGACGGATAAAACAACGGGAATGCTGGATCTAAACCTGTATTCGAGAGATTAATGTCTTTCTGGCTTGTTAATGCATAGACCGGCCCACAAAAGTGTTCAAATATTTGTAAATATCTTTGAAAAAAAAAAAAATACGTTAATTAAGCGCGTGGGACGAAATTATTTTCAAATTAATCGAAAGTTAATCTCATCCTTCTCTTGTTCTCCTTTCGGCGAATTTATCTCTTTTATTCTTCTTGTCTTTACTTTCCGTTGGTTTTCTCTTTTTTATTTTACGCCTCTACTAAACGAAATAAAACTTAGAAGTGCTTTTCATTTGAAACTAAACGAAATTCATACTTTTTTCCTCCACCGTAATTCTTATGAAAGTTTAACAAAAATGCATACATGTACCCTAAGTTCTTGAAAGAACGTTTGACTCACTCACCGGTTATTCGACTGATATTCGCGAATCTGCCAATATTGCCAGCTATGTGAGCGCCCAAGGAATGCCCGATCACGTGCAAAGTGTCCAAATCGATCAGCTCGATCAGCTGATTTAAAGATTCAGCAACTACTTTCCCTATCGCAGCCACTTGACTCGCCACGTAAACGTAATTAATGTGATACGCTATGTCCCCCCAATCGAGCAGAATGACGTTCACGTCTCCCTTGTCCAGATAAGCTGCAAACTCGATATGATATCGTAAACTCGATCTCAATTTTCTTGTCGTTCGATCCTTTTTTGCATCGCGTGATAGTAATGTATATGATAGTAATATACCTCTAATTATTACCCGAACGTTCTCCGCTTCCGTGTTCTCCATGAATCCGTGTATGTAAAGGATGCTGTCCCGATCGGTCAAGATGGCGTCGGCGATGTTTCCTGGATTTGTCACCGTACTCTCGGTGGATGTGAAGTGAGAGCTATTCCTGTAACGAAACGTTTGTTATTTATTATTTTGTGGAATTTCACGTTCATTCGGAGTTTTGTTTGTAACAGGGAAGGCTTCTGGCTAGATTAACCGTTTACTTTTATATTTCAGTGAATTTTAAATTAATGTTATGTAACGATGTTCATTCTTAACGAGTTCTTCTGTAACGATAGTTAAAATATTTTCTTTTCCACCTGTATACTTATTTGTTTTCTACAATTTTATACATATATTTTTAACTATTAATATTTTAACTATTAATTCTTTATAAAAAAAAATCTACTCAGAAACCCCTGTATATATAAATATAAAACGAAAGTAAAGAATTTCTGTATAAACTTGTGCAGAATAAGTATGAGTAGAATAATTGTATATTCCTTCCAAAACATTACTATGGAAGTTATCACAATGCTTGTTGAATGCCAATTCATTTACATGAATACCACGATAATTCACAAACCCTTGATAAACTTTCAAACGAATTTTTGTAACGATATCCCGAGTATCTTCTTCATCACCTGGATCACAGAAAACGTGGTTATTGAGTACGATAATATTTTTTAACCAGATGTAAGAACGATGTAATAAAACGAAATAAAGATCATTCTTTCACCACGAGAAAGGGCAAATTAATTCGTACGTACACGTTATCGCGTTGACAACGTCTTTGCGCATCAAATGAAAAATCAAATACAGACAGGCGTATACTTTTGACATTGTCACTTTTACACGAAGATGATGACAAAGAAAAGGACAAAAAAAGAACGATACACTATCCGTTCAGTAAACCAGTAGGAAATGTGTCCATGTTTTATGACATTCTAGTTCGTTATGGAATAGATTGGAAAACCTTTGCTATATATATAAAGTCCTCCTCTCCGTGAGACTGTAACCTCCTGTTGACGTAACAAGGAAGGAATAAAAGCGGTATCACTTTAATGTGAGGTAAAGGGGCCATTCATAGATTGCAAAACGCGTTTGGAGTGCAATTCTTTTTAACAGAACGCGTGCTCCCCTGTTTGTTCAAAAATCTTGGGACGAAAATTGAAAAAATTAACAATAAAACTATCAAATCGGTCAAAATGATCAATTTGAGTGGTTCGCAGGACGCTGCTAACGTTGTAGTTTTATATATTTGAATGATTTTTGTAAAATGCGTGAATAAAAGTTTGCACTCTCTGTTTTCCTGTTTCTTGCACTTTAATTTCTCTGACGCAGTTTTTGTACTTTGATTGATCAAACAAGACTTTATATAAATCGAGAAATCTGTACTAAGTATTAAGACGCTAACAATAATATTATAAATATATACGTGCAATTTTTGTAGACTTATTTGTTAAATTAAGAAATATCTCTGTAGTATTATTATATTCAAATAAAGTTAACTACATTCTGCTATTAAATGTAATTGTAGGATTTTATATCTGCGTTTGGCACGACATTGAAAATGAATCGATTCATGCAAATATTCGAACTACGTACATGACGAAGTAAAAAAACAGGATGCGACATTATTTTTTTCGTATTTCTATTTTTAACAAGATTGAATCAAATTATACGTTATGTGTACCTACTTGTCTGTACAATAAATCTCATCGTGATCAGGAATTCGTGACATTCACGTAATTTCATTTCAAATTATTATGTTACGTTATAAATTGTGCGATGGTGAGCATACGTGCATGCAATACATTCAGTTATAAATAACCTAATTTTTCTTCTTTTTTTGAAATTTTACCTGCTGATCCTTTATCTGTACGATTCTCTACAAAAGAATAAAATTACGCTAAGTTTCCGCGAGTTTCCTTTATATCGTCCGACAAAATTGAAATTTCCATGATAAAACGATTTTTATTCTTTACGTAGTTGCAACAATCTTGACAGTATAGATCAAGGTTACTTTTTACCATCAGACGAATACGAACGACACGCAGTTGCTCAAAACGAGACGTTACAATTTCTTTACACAGTTGCAATTTCGACAGTTTAGATCAAGATTTACTTTTTATTTTTAGACGAACACTATTGCATAAAAATTCTACTGTACATATCAATGAACACGTCCTGCGATGAATCAATTCTTGATTTATTTTTAATCTAAAAATTGGAAATACCCCTTGCCCATATGACACTTGCCAGTGAATATGTCAAAGATCAAAGAAATAAGAGCAAAGTGGGCAATCGATGAAACCTTGAAAACCACAGCGCGACCTCGCATCTCGCATCTAACACGCGCAAATCGCGTTCTTGTTACCCTATTGAAAAAATTTCCTCAATTGTTTCCGTAATCTCCGAGTATTAAATATCCAAGAAAAAAAAAAAAAAAAAAGAAAAAATACAAAAGGATTCAACCTCTGAAAACGCGGCGAAGTTTCACTTCCGGCAGGTCAGCGTGGCCACTCACAAACGCGCGGAAACTGCGATCTCGCGTTTTACCGGCCAGCCACGGCGTTCGTTAATTGAATCTTCTGGGTCGAGCGATATCCCGCGGGACGAATCAGACGACTCCCTCCCGTGGGCGTTCGCAGGTTAGAGCGACGCGTGAATACCGCGGCTCTTCTGGCCAGCGCGAAACATCGGCCATTAATAACACCGTGTAACGAGTATAGTTTAAAGCGCGGTTACCAGCGCATGTCTTCCTCCTACCAACTTATGCTCTCGTGGGCTTAAACATCTGCATCCCGATGTCGTGATATCACGCCGGCTCTGCTTCGGCTACGAATGTGCATATACAGGGTGTCCACTGGCAGAGATCCGTTCAATTCGACTGTAATCGAAGCTCGTTTCAATAAATATTCTACGATGCCTGCACTTGTCACTGTCTTACTCACCGTAACGGTGTGACTTTTTTAATTTTAATTCTTGCGTGTAAAGGTGTATATACAGAGGGTGTTCATTGGTAGAGATTTACCATTATTGACTGTCAGTCAAATTTTTTAATTCGAATTCTGATTCGCATTTAAATTTCACGTTTTAGTGAATGAAATATTTAATTGTACTCATTTTCCCCAGTGTGACTCTAATTATCACATTAATTTATCGAAAACGATTGAAATATTGTACAGAATGTCATCACTGTGTACAGAGTATCTCGGACTTTACATACACACATATTTTTTTCAGTATATACAGATGAAAATTAGACTGAAGTCCAGTTTGTAAGACGAGGAATATTCGAAATTTTTGTTGAGCATCTGTCGACTTCTTGTTGACGTGACGTTTTCGTTTTATTTTTACCCGCAGAACTACACTGGCAAAATTTCAATTAAATTTGAATTAATGGATTTAAGCGACTCTCCGTCGATTTATTTATTCGTAAGTATGTTATAATTTTCATCCGAACACCATTGCGAGTTGCACTTCGACCAAACACCCTGTACGTACGTATGTCTGCCTACGTAATGTAGGTGGGTCGGCGGGTAGGTCGTTTTTGTATTAAGTGTGTTCGCGATTTAGACTCGATGAATGCACCGTTCTTGTGCCCCAGCCACGAAGCGGACAGATTCCCTTTTCCTTTAAGAATTTCATCGCCCTCGAACACCTCTCTTCCTTTCTCTTCGAGTATCTCGTGATCGCCTCAAGCCGAGAATGCGTTCAAACAATGTCGAAACACAGTTGCCCACGAAGACTCGTAGCAATTTTTTATAAACACATTATGTATGTAACACTTTGAAGTTTGAAAGAAATTTAAAACTGTATATGGAAATCCCCAGATATTTGATACAAGTAATATCTTGTAGAATATATTTATATATAAAGAACATATTTATTTATATATAAAGTGTGATAATTTATATATATTTATATATAAATACATAAAATTAATAAATATATTAATATAAAATTAAAAAATATATTAATAAATTTATATATAAATTATATATTTATATATAAAGTGTGATAATTTATTAATATAGTAAAGTGCAAATTCGAATTACAATATTATTTCGTTATGCTTGTCAACACTTATTGTATGGTTAAATGATTGAACAATTGGTTATTAATATTTTTCCGTAATATCTAATCACGTACTATAACGATCAATATATATCAATACCAAAATACTATTTATTAATTTTTAATTAACGTCCAAAGCATGATATTTCATACGTGACGTATAATTTTGTCGTCCACTAAAATTTCCATTAACTTTAATTACGTACAATCGCGAATAATTTGCTCGTATCATAATTTAATATCGTAATTACACCTAGAGATCTCATATAATACTGTTTAACACTCAATGAAATTCTTCCGTATGCAGCTACACTTGAAGTGTACTACTACCTGAAGTCTACTCTCGAAGAACATGTTCGTTTCACCGTGTAAAGAACGGCATCAAGCTAAGTATAGTATAATTTATTTATACCGGTGAAAACTGTTCCTTCTTGAGCAATAAAAATTGAACGAAAAAAGGAAGGAAAAAGTGAATTGACGTTTTAGACAAATCGTCGCTTATACTGTTTAAAAAATTATATGTTTACGCACCGTTCAATTATGACTTATTACTGATACGTTACGGCTGCTCGAAATAAAATAACAACGAACGAGCTAACTCCTCTATAATTACCGAACATTTCGATGTGTGTTCCACGAACGAATAATTACGCATAAAATAATAACCAATTCATGAGCAAACGAATCATTAGACCGTGTACTATGTTCAGAAAACATGATGTAATTCCCGGTATAATATGCGGAAGAAAAGTCTGTTTGATCTTTTTCTTCCTTTCAATAGAAAAACGACAAAATTATTATTATGACTTTGTGATCGTTAAATCGTAACGTACAGGTTAATTGAAGGAATATGCAAAATTATATTAAATAAAATACTCCCTATCTTTAGAAGAGTTTAGAATTAGATACAAAAATTTTCAGTCAGATACTTGCTATTTAAAACCTCACCAATTTAGATTCTATAAATTAATAAAATTACTTCACGTACTTGAAATCTTTTCACTAATCATGACACATGAATTTTCATTGGTTGCTTAATACCTAAAATATTACCTTAGTAATTAGTATTAGTACTATACCTTAATACCTAAAATATTGCCTTAGTAATTAGTAATTAGTATTATACCTTAATACCTAACCATCATCAAAATTTTGATATTCTAAATCAACATCTATAGATATCAATTTGACCGCTGTATCTATCTCGTCCTAATCCCAATATCCAAACAAACAAAATTACTCGATAAACCAAAATACAGTTACAAAGGACTGTATAATCATTTCTCATCAACAGACCTTGAAACACTGCGGTCAATGTTTGATACATGCACGCAGTCTTATCGATCCAAAAAGAGAAAGAAAAAAAAAAAAAGAAAACCGGTAAAGGCGACGATCGTCGTAAACAGGCTGGCAACAGGCTGGCATCGTGATCCCTTCTCGTAACTTCTGCGAACTTCGACGAACAGTTTCTAATCCCGTCCACCGTGGATAAAATTCGCGAGAGAGGGTCCTCGTGTAATTTCCATCATGGCGGTTCGGTCAATGCCTTCGGCATCGTGGGGCTTAATCCTCGCGGCACGACAAATCTCGCGGCGGTGGTAGCTAGGCGGTGGACGTAGGCCGCAATAAAATTAGGCTACCGCGCGGCGGGTTATAATGCATCGCGATGCATGCTACGGAGATTTCTCACCCCCCTGCGAATTATCGCCGGTAATTCGCGGCTACGGGCAACGCATTACTCATTCTCGCGGGGGGTTGACTTATATTCATCCACGTAATCCCTGCCGGATGATCAAAGATCCCCGGCCAGCGCGCCACCATGGTGGTAGCCCAGCAGCAACGAAAGAATCGTCCA